TTCATTTTATATATATAAATTTCCTAAACGACGTTGTGGTTGTAAAAAACATAGATATGTTGACCAAAAATAATTAAAGATCTGTTTATGGGCTTTGGGTCTTAATTAATAATATTGAAATGGGCCTAAAAAGATATGAAACAAGCTGTACAGGCCTAAAAAATATAAAGAACCAGAAAATAAGCCCAAGAATGATATACTATATTTATATTTATAATTTTATGTTATTTAAAATATATTTTAAATTTATATATATATTTATTATTATATTTTAATTTATCCATGACGTATTGTATCCTAGTTTTTGGAGATTTGCCGTATCCCTGTGTTGTGTCGTATCATATCGCCGTATCTGTACCCATGTCGGTGCTTCTTAGGGTCAAACCATACTTCTACTTCGTAGAACACAAACGAATTTGAATGTGGAATTGATAAAATTGTGAACTAACAAAATGATAGAAGATGTTGTAGATCTTTGAATAACCATGACTTCAATAGACTAACTTCAATTAGTCCCCCTCAAGCACCATTCTTACTAAACACGTCTTGTTTTCTCAATTCAATGGAAACTATTCTATCATATGAAGTATCAACCCAATTGTTCTGCGATTGTAATTAAAAAGAGATCAAAATTCAAGAGAGAAGAAAACAAACCGTGACTTCAATGGGGATGCGAGTATCAATCCGATGCTGATAATAGAGATCAACAGAATCAACACCAAGGTGCTTCAAACTACCCTCAATAGCAGCTCTCACATAGGCAGGGTCACCTCGAACCTCCCTCTTGTTATTATCAGCAAAACTGATACCAAACTTGGTGGCCAATTCAACCTTCTCCCATACCCCACCCTTCAGAGCCTGTTCCTCATCAATCCAACAAATCCAATTCACTTCATCATCATCAATTACAATCAATTAAACAATCTAAACAAAACCCAAAAAGCAATTATGTGTCTCATTGTAACTTTCTCATACCCCATTTCTTTCCAAATTAAAGTTGGAAGTTCAATTAGGGATGAGAAATTACATTGCAACTTAAGAAATGGGAGGAGAGAGGTAAGATAGGTATGGACAACGTGGGTGGACATTTTGACCTCTAAATCTTGACAGGAAAGCAAATGAACTTGGACATTTTTACCTCTAAAAAATCCAAGGAATATTATAAAAGGCATTCAGATACAGATCACAACCATAAAATGTGACAAATCATATCACATTACAGTTTATAATACCTTCATTATTTCTACAAAGGAATGGCAAATTTGTAGATTGCATTAATAACTCAATATGATATTGGTGTTCTTTACAGGGATGATATATACATGCTTGATCAAAGACTTGTATGCAATAGAACAAGAATTATAGACTAAAATCTAGAAACTAAGGCCCCGTTCGTTTATGTTTTGAGTGCCCATTTTCATTTTGAGAGAACAAAAACAGACAGAAAACCTGTTCGGTGGGCAAAAACAGAAAACACAGAGAACGTTTTATGAAAACAAAAACAATTTCACGTCTACTTGCAGAAAACAGAAAAAAGCTGTTTTCATTCTCACAGGAAACAACACTGAAAACACGTTGCTTCTCTCCCCATCAGACCAAAACCACCGTCAAACGCTGCCAACAAAGAATCACACGCAGAGCTTGAACCACCAACATCACCCAATCAAAATCACCACTGCCCCATCGAACCAGATTGTCACCGCCACTCAATCGAACCCAACAAACTCTC